AAAAAAAAAGACAATCTGAATAATTTCCTCCCAAGATGACCAATGAGCACATGAAAATATGCTCATATCACTAGTATTAGGGAAATGCAAATCAAAACCAGAAGATACCACCAAGATGGTTACAATAAAGAAGGTGGACAGTACAGAACAAGTACTGCACAGGACATAGGCCTTTGGCACTGATAGTAGGAAGGTAAATGGTGCAGCTGTTTTGGAACATAGTTTAGCAGTTCCTTAAAAGGTTAAGTATAGTTACCATAAGACCCAGTGTTATGGCTTGTATCAAGATGTCCCCCAAAGCCTCAAGTACTCATATGTGGGGTTTTTTCAGAGGTGGCTGGAGTGATGCTGAGATTAAGGGTGTGTGAGAACTAAATTGGTTTAGTATAGTTCTGGTTTGGATTGTGGAAGCCCTATCCTGGGTGTGGGTGGCACCAATCAGTAGGCTTGTAGCCTGGATGGAATACAAAGGGACACAGGGAAGGCTGCTGCTATTGCTTGCTGCTTCTGTCTACCCTGCCATGGACTGTTTCTCCTCTGCGATGCCCTTCTGCCATGCCACCCTGCCTTGGAGCCAGATGACTATGGACTGAAACCTCTACAAACTGTGAGCTGAAATAAACCTTTCCTCCTTTAACTTGTGGGTATAGGGTATTTTGTCTCAGCAGCAAGAAAAGTAACTAAACATCCATGTATAAAAGAATGAAAAGGGCTGAGGATGTAGCTCAGCAAGTGCAAGGTCCTGAGTTCAATGCCTGGTACCAAAAAAGAAAAAAAGAAATACGTCCATATAATCTCTTGTAATGAATTTGGGGGCAGCATTATTTGTAGTAACTGAAAAATGAAAACAAACCAATGTCCACCAACTGGTGAATGAATAAAAAATGTGGTACTGCCATACAATGGGGTATTATTTAGCCATTAAAAAAAATGAAGTAGCCAAGGCTTGGTGGTACATGCCTGTAATCCCAGCACTTGGGAGGCTGAGGAAGGATGATCACTAGCCTGGGCTCCATAGTGAGTTCAAGGGCAGACTGAACTACCTAGTGAGGCCTTGTCTCAAAAAACTTTTAAAAAAAGTACTGATCCATGCTGCAACACAGAGGGATCCTGAAAATGCCACATATCGCCTGATTCCATTTATGTGAAGTGTTCAGAGTAGACAAGTCTGTAGAGACAAGCAGTGGATCACTGCAAGGGCTGTGTGGGAGAGGTGGGAGAAGGAACAATTGGTGGGTTAGGGTTTCTTTGGAGGGAGTATGATGGAAATTTCCCAAATTATGTAGTAGGGAAGGTTCTGAAATGTGGGTTCTAAAACTTTGTGAATATACGAATGAATTGTACACTCTAACAGGGGCAACTTTTATGGTAAATTCATTAGTATAAACAAAAAAATCTAAAAAGAGGAGTTAAAATGACCCTCGAAAGGTCTTGCTTCCATGCAATCTGTTCTTTTGGCGTTGGAGACGTTCCGCGCTGCTCACCTGCTGCTTTGTGCTCTTGTTGGGTTTGACTGAGTAGTGGATGTCCTTCATGGCTCTCTCGATGAGGATGACAGTGTATGGTCTCTTTGTCTCTGGGTTCACACATTTGTCTGCCACGATGGTTGCAATGTCCCTAAACATCTGCTCCAGCTGTGTATGCCTTTCTTTATCTGACACCTGAACCTCTCCTTTAGTCAAAATCTGAAAAAACAAACCCAATAAACTCACGCAACATATTCCTTTACCACACATTATTTGTTAAATAACCGCAAGAATTAGCATGAGGAGAAAATTAACTTTCTTCCTCTCTAGTCACTGACAGACAGTGATTTGAGCACTGTATTATACTGTGCTTCAAACTCACTTATTGAGGATTGGATACAGGAAGGGGAGGAGCAATCTTAGCAAAGAAATTTGATTAAAAATTTCATTTGTCACTCATATACCACATAATAAAAATACGCAACTATGCAAAATGAGGTAATTTGTTAGAAAATGTTAAGTTTTGGAGGTGTTTTACAAAAACACACATTCTCTGTTATTAGAACTGATACTGTAGCTGGGTGTGGTGATGCATGTCTGGAATCCCAGCACATTGGGAGGCTGAGGCAGGAGGATAGACAAGTTCCAATCTAGCCTGGGCAATTCAGTGAGACCCTGTCTCCAAATACTGAAGTGCTTGGGATGTAAGCTCAGCTTGAAGGCCCTGGGTTCAATCTCCACTACCACCAAATCAAACCAAACCAAACCAACACAAAAAACAAAAAAACAACGAATGAGCCAAACCAAACCAGCTGACATTATGCACTTCACTTTGTTACTGTCCCACTCCCCCAAAAGGATACTTGATACAAATGAATGTTGTAGGTGGCAGCATTTACCTGCTTACAGATTTCAGTTTGGTCATCTGTACCAAACACACTGATGAGATCTTCTTTTTTTGCAACCTGACCTTTAGAAACATTTACAAACACCGAGTGGGTCTGGAGAACTTCATCGAGGTCTTTTTCCCTGAGGAGAGGGGGGCAGGAAACATAGGTGTACGTGAATACACTTGACTCCCGGATATGCGTTGACATCTAAGTTTAAGAGAGCAATGACAATGACAAGAGACAACAGATTCCGAAAAGACGCTTAGTGTGGAGGGAGCAGTTTCAAAACGCGGAGCCCCTTTGTGTTCCTATTTACTGGAGAAAATTACAAACGTCACTGGCTCCCCAGGAACCCGGGGTGGGTCAGGGCAGGCTGCGGCAGCAGAGACTCTACGCACTTCGGCGACAGACCCCGGGGCTCCTGGATCCCGACATCAGATGTACGACAACGAAGACAGTATTTGGAAGACTAGGATCGCATCTGTAACACCACTCGGGAAAAGGACCATGAGTGTAGGACTTCACGGCTGTAGCTTTCACCCAGTAGCCCAATCTGAACCAACTAAAGAAAAGAGCCCTTGGCTCAGGCACCAGGCTGGGGAAGGACAGCGACCTCTCCCGCCCGCAGCAGGGATAGGTTTCCCCTCCTCTGACAAGCCCTGAGCCTGGCCGTCATCTCGACTCGGCGACCGGGAGGCCGCGCGACGTGGTCACTCACACGCCACTCCGCCAGCCGACGACCTTGTTTTTGTAGCAGGCGATTTCGAAGCGCTTTCCGGCGCGCTTCATCCGTACCACGGCCACATTGGTGAGGCGGATCTGGTTGGTGGGGGTGAAGATCGACATGGCGGCTGCTCAAGGATCTCAGGTCCGGCAAGCCAGAGCAGCCCCGCGCGCACCTTGCTGGAACGACCGCACAGCGCGCGGAGCCTCTACTCTGCTGACCTCCGCCACAGTGCGGGGGGGCTGGCTTACTGAGCAGACGTCACAGGGCGCGGCAGTGAGCAACTACGCCTGCGCACTGTGGCTTTTTTTTTTTTTTTACAATTACGCCTGCGCATTATGGCTTTTTACAACTTCCCGCACCCCAAAATGGGAGGCGCTCTTTCATGACGTGTTTACTTTAGCTAATGAGCTCTGACAGGTTGGTTGCGGATGTTTAGTGGCCGGGTGGAAACACAGCACTATTGCTGCACAGTTCCGCAGACTTCAGGGGCCACACCCACTTTAACCTTGTAAGGGAAAAATTTAACATAAAGTAGAGAAAAAGGCGCAACGAACCCCATCACACCGCTTCAACAATTGGAAACACTTTGCCATTCTTAGTTTGTTTCCCCCTTTTTCTTTGGAGTACTTTAAATCACGTTATGTTTTTAGCCTTAAATACTTGAGCGTGTACCTTTAACAGAGATATCCAACGAGATTCACCATAATTCCTCAGTAACATGGAGTAGCATAGTATCATACTTTAATTTTTCTCCCCTAAATCATAGCTTTCTACAGTCTCTGCACACTGGGACTCTACTATTGCCCTCTTACACTCGTGTTCCTTCACTCTCCCCCGCAATGCCACTCATTTCTTGACGGGCCCACCCCTTCCCAATCTGAGCCAATAGGGGCCGCTAGAAGCACGCTCCCTATGGTCGCCAGGTGCTCTGGGAGGCACTTCTAGACCGCTGGGCGGTGCTTCCCTCTGAGCTTGCCCCTTCCCTCTCTGAGCCAATCCCAGCAGGACTCCGTTCTGGCTTTTGAGCCTAGAGCTCTGGGCGTGCTTCCCCTGGGCCCGCCCCTTTCCCTTATGAGCCAATCAGAGTGGCTCTGGAAGAGCTTGTCATCCTCTCCTTGAGCTCTGGGTTTCCGGTTGGGCCCGTCTCCTTCCGCGCCGGCCAATCCGGGCGGGCCTGCAAGTGGCATGGCTTCCCCCGGCGCTGAAAGCTCAGAACACAACTGATGCTGAGCGGTAACCGCTAGGCTTCCGTTCCTCAGGCCGGCCACCAGCCTTCGTAGGTTCGAGGCCCGGGTTTCCCTCCGGCCTGCGGGACCCGGCCTTTGAGGAGAATGGGTAAGGGACCCTGGCTGGCGGGAGCGGAGGCGCCCTTGCCCTTCCTCCCCTCAGAGGTCGCGCGGTGTTCAGCTCGGGACGGTCGCGCCGGGGCGAGGGGAGCCGCGCTCTGCGTTTGCCTTTTGAGGCCAGGGGTGCGCTTGGAGAGAAACTGAGCTTCTCACCCCAAATAAAAGGCAGAGAGAACAACCCTTCCCCTCCCATGTGCTTGGGGCTTTCGGTTCCTTCTTGCAGCGCCTGCCGTCGCTAGGTTTCAGGCTTCGCCTTTTGAAGTCGCCTCCAGCTTCAGTATTTGCGGCCAGGACCTGGCGCGCCTTCTTTCAGAGTAGGGGTCGAGGCCAGTTTTAGAGAGCCCTTAACTAGCAGCCGAAGGTACTTACAAATGCGGTAGCGTCGGGCACAGGTGATAGCACTCCTGTAATCCCAACACTCTGGGAGGCTGAGGCAGGAGCATCGCAAGTTCGAGCCCAGGCTGGGCAACTTAGCGACTTAGCTCAAAGTAGAAAGTTTTTTTTAAAAAAATTATTTTATTGGTACATTTTAGGTATACAGTATAATGACATTCATCATTGGAAATTTGCACCTTTACATAATCTCTCTTGGTTCTTATTTTTCACCCT